TAACCTGGTAGTGAGGGGAGGGTAAGTAACCTGGTAGTGAGTGAAGAGTGAGTAACCTGGTAGTGAGTGGAGAGTGAGTAACCTGGTAGTGAGTGGAGAGTGAGTAACCTGGTAGTGAGTGGAGGGTAACCTAGTAGTGAATGGAGGGTGAGTATCCTGGTAGTGAGTGGAGGGTGAGTAACCTGGTAGTGAGTGGAGGGTAAATAACCTGGTAGTGAGTGAAGAGTGAGTAACCTGGTAGTGAGTGGAGGGTAAGTAACCTGGTAGTGAGTGGAGAGTGAATAACCTGGTAGTGAGTGGAGAGTGAGTAACCTGGTAGTGAGTGGAGAGTGAGTAACCTGGTAGTGAATGGAGAGTGAATAACCTGGTAGTGAGTGGAGGGTGAGTAACCTGGTAGTGAGTGGAGGATGAGTAACCTGGTAGTGAGCGGAGAGTAAGTAACCTGGTAGTGAGTGGAGGGTGAGCAACCTGGTAGTGAGTTGAGGGTGAGTAACCTGGTAATGAGTGGAGGGTGAGTAATCTGATAATGAGTGTGGGTGAGTAACCTGGTAGTGAGTGGAGAGTAAGTAACTTGGTAGTGAGTGGAGAGTGAGTAACCTGGTAGCGAGTAGAGAGTGAATAACCTGGTAGTGGGTGGAGAGTAAGTAACCTGGTAGTGAGTAGAGAGTGAATAACCTGGTAGTTAGTGGAGAGTGAGTAACCTGACAGTGAGTGTGTGTGAGTAACCTGGTAGTGAGTGGAGAGTAAGTAACCTGGTAGTGAATGAAGAGTGAGTAACCTGGTAGTGAGTGGTGGGTGAGTAACCTGGTAGTGAGTGGAGGGTAAGTAACCTGGTAGTGAGTGAAGAGTGAGTAACCTGGTAGTGATTGGAGATTGAGTAACTTGGTAGTGAGTGGTGAGTAAGTAACCTGGTAGTGAGTGGAGAGTGAGTAACCTGGTAGTGAGTGGAGAGTGAGTAACCTAATAGTGAGTGTGGGTGAGTAACCTGGTAGTGAGTGGAGAGTAAGTAACCTGGTAGTGAATGGAGAGTGAGTAACCTGGTAGTGAGTGGTGGGTAAGTAACTTGGTAGTGAGTGGAGGGTAAGTAACCTGGTAGTGAGTGGAGAGTGAGTAACCTGGTAGTGAGTGGAGAGTGAGTAACCTGGTAGTGAGTGGAGAGTGAGTAACTTGGTAGTAAGTGGAGAGTAAGTAACCTGGTAGTGAGTGGAGAGTGAGTAACTTGGTAGTGAGTGGAGAGTAAGTAACCTGGTAGTGAGTGGAGAGTGAGTAACCTGGTAGTGAGTGGAGAGTAAGTAACCTGGTAGTGAGTGGAGAATAAGTAACCTGGTAGTGAGTGGAGAGTGAGTAACCTGGTAGTGAGTGGAGAGTGAGTAACCTGGTAGTGTGTGGTGGGTGAGTAACCTGGAAGTGAGTGGAGAATAAGTAACCTGGTAGTGAGTGCAGAGTGAGTAACCTGGTAGTGAGTGGTGGGTGAGTAACCTGGTAGTGAGTGGAGGGTGAGTAACCTTGCAGTGAGTGGATAAAATATTCACCATGGGGAAGGATAGATAAAGAAGAGATGAAAGAGGGGAAGTGCAGGAAATAAAGAGGAGATACAAGTGTCCTCTTTATTACCCTTGGATGTTGCTTCATCTCCCTCCATCCCTCCCTCCCTCACCTCAAATTACTCACATCTCCTCCACACCACCATCATCGCCCTCACTCCAACACTCTCATCCTTCTCAACATCTGGGCTGGATGCTGAGACAGAGACCTGCTGGGTGTGGATGAGAAACTGACATGCAACTGACATACAACTGACATGCAACTGACATACAACTGACATGCAACTGACATGTTTACACACACAAGGCTTTCCTCTCATCTTAAGCAGCCTCTGAATTGTCGAATGAAGTTTTATATATATATATATATATATATATATATATATATATATATATATATATATATATATATATATATATATATATATTATATATATATATATATATATATATATATATATATATATATATATATATATATATATATATATTCTGGTCTATTATCTCTTGATTCAAGTATATTCACTTCCTTCTGTTCACTTTCGTACACTTGCAATTATTTCTTCAATTTTTTCTAGTTCTTTCTTCAAATTCTATTCTTCCTTCTTAGTTTCTCCTTTATTTCTCCCTCTGTATCCCTCTCTTCCATTCTTGTCCTCCTTTCTATCCCTCTTTATCACTCTCTTTCCCATTTTTCTGAGCTTCCCTCTCGCAATACATCCACTTTAGCTTCCCACCTTCCCTCCCTCCTTTCTTTCCATCATTATTTTTTTTTCTCTACCTTACTCTTCCACCTTCACTGCCTCCTCTCTGTCTGTCTGTTTGTCTCTCTCTCTCTCTCTCTCTCTCTCTCTCTCTCTCTCTCTCTCTCTCTCTCTCTCTCCCTCCCTTTTCCCCTGCCTCCTCCTCTCTCCCAGCATCTCTGCCACTAACAGGTGTGTGTGTGTCTCGCTCAGGGGAGTATGGAACATACATCCTGGGAGCTAGGGAGAGGTTCCTGCAGGCAGGGTCTTCCCTGTCTCTGGTGTGTGTGGTCACTCACACCCTGGCACCACCCACGGCACTACTCTGGTACCACGACCACCACGTTCTTGATTACGACTCTCCAAGGGGTGGTATCTCACTCCAGGTGAGTCGTCTCAAGGGGGTAGTATCACTCTCCAGGTGTGTACTAAGGTGTAACTTCACCCTCCAGGTGAGTACTAAGGTGTAACTTCACCCTCCAGGTGTGTACTAAGGTGTAACTTTACCCTCCATGTGAGTACTAAGGGCGGCATCACTCTCCAGGTGAGTACTAAGGTGTAACTTCACTCTCCAAGGTGAGTACTAAACGATGACATCTCCCTCCAGGTGAGTACTAAGGTGTAACTTGACCCTCCAGGTGAGTACTAAGGTATAACTTCACCCTCCAGGTGAGTACTAAACTTTGATATCTCCCTCCAGGTGAGTACTAAACGTTGATATTTCCCTCCAGGTGAGTACGAAAAGTGATCCTCCCTCCTGAGGAGTTCTAAGAGGGTGTAAGGGAGGGAACGTGGAGTAGGGGGAAGGAGGGAGAGGAACACGGATTTTAAAAGAAGTTTTGGTGACTGAAAGGATTAAGGGAGATTTTCTGAGTGGTGTTTGTGTCTGCTGAGGCAGAGCCTTCTGGTGAGGGAGTGTGTGTTTGTGTATGCTGAGGCAGAGCCTTCTGGTGAGGGAGTGTGTGTTTGTGTCTGCTGAGGCAGAGCCTTCTAGTGAGGGAGTGTGTGTTTGTGTCTGCTGAGGCAGAGCCTTCAGGTGAGGGAGTGTGTGTTTGTGTCTGCTGAGGCAGAGCCTTCTGGTGAGGGAGTGTGTGTTTGTGTCTGCTAAGGCAGAGCCTTCAGGTGAGGGAGTGTGTGTTTGTGTCTGCTGAGGCAGAGCCTTCTGGTGAGGGAGTGTGTGTTTGTGTCTGCTGAGGCAGAGCCTTCAGGTGAGGGAGTGTGTGTTTGTGTCTGCTGAGGCAGAGCCTTCAGGTGAGGGAGTGTGTGTTTGTGTCTGCTAAGGCAGAGCCTTCAGGTGAGGGAGTGTGTGTTTGTGTCTGCTAAGGCAGAGCCTTCAGGTGAGGGAGTGTGTGTTTGTGTCTGCTAAGGCAGAGCCTTCAGGTGAGGGAGTGTGTGTTTGTGTCTGCTGAGGCAGAGCCTTCTGGTGAGGGAGTGTGTGTTTGTTTATGCTGAGGCAAAGCCTTCTAATGAGGGAGTGTGTGTTTGTTTGTCAGGTTGTTTAGATGTTTGTGAGGGAGTGTGTGTGTGTGTGAGGTTGTTTGAGTGTTTATGAGGGAGTGTGTTTGTGAAGTTGTGTGAGAGTGTTTGTGATGGAATGTGTGTTTGTGAGGTATTAAATGTGTTTGTGATGTCATGTGTGTATATGTGAGGTTTTTTATGAGGCAGTGTGTTTGTGAGGTTGTTTAAGTGAGTTATAAGGAAGTGTAAGTGTATTTGTAAGGGAGATTAACTGTGTGAGGGAGTATAAGTGTGCCCAGGAGGAAATTTAGGTCCTGCTATATACGTGAGCCACCGCTCGAATCCCTGTCCCTACTTATCGTTATTCATTGGCAATGGTTCACTTTGATTTATATATCTCTTTGTCTATCTATTCTACCTATCTATCTGTCTATCTATGGCGTGGATAGACTCCTCTGTGGCTAACTTGGAGATGATAGATCAACATAACAACACAGTAAACACTCTCTAATAGTATGATCTATGGTTTCCTAATAATGATAAATTGTATTAAATGTGAGCTTTCCTAATGAAGTGATCATCACTCTGACTTAGAACAATGTCGAGAAAAAAAAAGCAATGATCTGTTTGTCTGTTCTTCAAATGTAAATTCAATATTAGAGTGCTATGAAATTAGATATTTCAAGACTAATATTAGATGGTCATGCGATTTCAGAGGCACGTAAGTTCCTCCGTCTTCTAATAACATGTTCATTTTCCCTCTATAATCTACCTTGTCCATAATTATTATCACATTTGCTTTGTCTGTTTCGTAAGGTGAAGTCCAGGATCTTTCCTTAATTCATGGTATAACTTAACGAATCTTTGAGGACAGTTGTGTTATAGAGGTTGCAACTGTTGCTACACATGAATTAAGGAGAGATCCTGGACTTCACCTTACGAAACAGAGAAAGCAAATGTTGATAATAATTATAGACAAGGTAGATTATAGTGGAAAAATGAACATGTTATTAGAAGACTGGGCAGCTTACGTGCCTCTTAAATATTGGAAAGGTATCGTTAACATAAAGTCGATATAAAAACGGTCGACCTTATAAAGAGCAGGGAAATCATTGGTCAAAGTCAGTCACAGATATGTCCCCATCACAGCCCATCTCTCCGGTTATAAACCTTCCCATTAAATAGAAGATAACAATCTGTTGCTGTCAGTGATAACAATTTATGAAGGTGATGGTGGCAGCAGGAACACTGTCAAGCCATAGCTGACACAGTAGACAAGTAATTATTCACTGCGTTGCTCAATCAGTTCATCACTACAGAGTTGACCAAAGGAATTTATCTACACCATTACAAACTAACCTGCCTTTTGTAATAATAAATTCTCGGTAGAGATATTTTGTTTCTAGTTTTTATTTTCTCTACTCTCTCTCTCTCTTTCTTACTTTTATTAATTTGATTTTGACGTCTCTTTGAACTTCATCAAGTGTAACGTCTCCTTGAGCTTCATGAGACGTTTCCAGGAGAGAAAAACATCCATGTCAGAGTCTCTCAGCTTGTATAAGCTGACATGTTCACACTATACCATGATGCTTCTCTAAATCTGTATAAACTCAATATAACACAATATACACTTTATATCATATATGGCATTTATTCTCTCCCTCACTCCCTCTCTCCCTCTCTCCCTCTCTCTCTCTCTGGCTGTCATCACATTCCCACGACCCTTTACATCTCATCAAACAGCATCCTCATCCCCACCAGACCGCTTCCTTCATACTCACATGCAAACTGGGACACTTTTAAACGCCTAGATAACATCAACCTCTCACACAATTATGATAACAAGTACATCTCAGACACAGACACACAGCACACATAAAACAATCTATCACACAGGCTGCTGAGAAAGCAGTCCCCTAAAAGACACTACTTCGTCAGATATTCCTTCCGCCGGTCTGAAAGGATGAAGCGTCTCTTTTTGTGCTACGGTCATCGCTTTGCCTCCATCCTACGAAGATATACACACGTCATGCGAGATCTCACCTTCCTGAGAAATTACACCAACCGCAGCTTGGATGAAGACTAATTAACACAAGATTAATGACTCACTTTGAGACAAACCACTTCCTTACTGACCAACAGTTTGGTTTCCGCCAACAACGCTCGACTCAAGCTGTGGCTAGTGAAGCTCTTGGGCGGCTATATAGACTCAAAGGTTCACATCCCCAGTCTTAATTTATTACACCTAAACAAGGCCCTTATGCAGCCGCTCATCACATATACAACTCTCGCCCTTTCACTGGTTGCAAAGACTAATGTCCTGAAACTACAGTGAATCCAGAAACCTGTATTGAGCTGGGTGCTGAACGTGGCGTGGAGTGACTTCGCTAAAAGTGAGTCTTTCTGCACAAGGAGAGGTACCCCGGCGCTGACCGTCTTCTGGAAGGAGCTTAGTGATAAGCAAATTGACCGGCTAGAAACCCGCCAAGACCCATGGACAACATACCTAGACGAAATCATAAGACGGTCATACAGCCCTCAAAACTTTTTCAATCTCTTTATAAGCCTGTTCCTCCTCCTCTTTTAAGATGTCCCCTGCCCTCTGCAGGGAGGACCTTAAAAGATGCCCTTTTACTAACCATTAATACGATATCCCTCTCCATTTATCTACAATAGCATTCGAGAAACAGCAGACCACACTCTGCAGTAGCATGCACACTGTCAGCACAACAAGCACCATTTTTCTTTCAACTCTGGCCAGGCAGCACCATGAGGCTGGGTCCAGCCCCGGCTCTTTCCCCTCGCTCTTCAAACCATTCCTTCCCCTTACTTCTCTTTCGCTATCCCGCTCTCCCCTCTCACCCCGTTCTCCCCTCTTACCCTCATGAGTTTTACCTGGGAGTATCCTCTCCTGTCCTGGAGCTGAATATTTTACCATGGATATGCAAAGTGGATATATTACCTTGGATATACAAAGTGGATATATTACCATGGATATACAAAATGGATATATTACCATGTAGATACAAAGTGGATATATCACCATGGATACATAAAGTGGATATATCAACACGGATATACAAAGAAGATATTTTACCATGGATATACAAGGTAATATGGACTAGTGTGGCTTAGAGAGCAAATTCCCTAACAGAGAGACGTAGTTCTCCCTGCCTCTGACTGTTCAACATCAACAGCCATAGTATTGTTATTTTATTGTTACAGTCACGGTACTGTGACTGTATTCTTATAGTCACGGTATTGTTAGTTTATTGTTAGTCACGGTACTGTGACTGTATTGTTACAGTCACGGTACTGTTAGTTCATTGATAAGATTAAGTAAAATAACGTACCCTTGTCTTCCCTTCCATCCACTGACAGGTAGAGAAGACTGGGGAGCAGACGACGTCCAGACTTCTCCTGTCATCGGTAAGGATGTCAGACTCTGGCAACTACACCTGTCTCCCCGTCAACGCGCCCACTGCCTCTGTCTCTGTCCACGTCAACAGCGGTGAGCAACACACTCGTATCTGAGGGAAAAACACTTTCATTGTTGCTAACTAACGGGATTAATAAATTAAGTTTCAACTTTATCCTTGAGAGGCTAACTATGATAATTATAAGGATAACGTAACAGTGAAACAGTGATGTGGTGGCCGTGGTGACACTACATGGTGAGGCTGCCTGGTGATGCTACCTGGTGAGTTTACCTTGCGACATTACCTGGTGACCCTTCCTGGTGACACTATCTGGTGACATTACCTAGTGACACTATCTACTGACGCTACCTGGTGATATTACCTGGTGAGGCTACCTTGTGATATTATCTGGTGACGCTACCTGGTGAATCTACCTTACGATATTACCTGGTGACGCTTCCTGGTGACATTATGGTAACATTATCTAGTGACGCTTCCTGGTGACATTATGGTGACATTATCTAGTGACGCTTTCTGGTGACATTAGGGTGACATTATCTGGTGACGCTACCTTGTGACACTACCTGGTGGCGCTACCGTGTGACATTACCTAGTGACACTACCTTGCAACATTACCTGTTGACGCTGCTTTGTGACATTACCTGGTGGCGCTACCTTGTGACATTACTTGATGACACCACCTGCTGATAATACTTCATGACACCACTTGGTGACACCACCTGGTGACACCACCTGGTGACACCATTTGGTGACACCACCTGCTGACACCACTTGGTGACACCACCTGCTGACACCACCTACTGACAATGACCATGACTTGTTGAAGGTCCAAGTCAAGGTTACCAGGCAAAAAAGAAACTTGGTATGAAAAAACCAGGTCCAAGAGGAACCTGGTAATATAAGGTTCTGGAGTAACCTAGTACAAGGTTCTAGAGGATCCTAGTATAAGATTCTGGAGGATTCTGGTACGAAGTTTTGAAGGAACCTGGTACAAAGTTCTAAAGGATTCTGGTACAAAATTCTGGAGGATCTTGGTACAAAGTTTTGGAGGAACCTGGTACAAAGTTTTGCGGAAACCTCTTCGAGGGTTTTAAAACGACGAAGGTTTAATAACTGCTGATGATATGCAAGATTTCCAGGTTGCCAGACACATTCCAGTATTGGTCAGTGAGTCACTGTTGACACCATACGATAATCTTCAGCCATATTTCACTACCCCCTTATAATTAATAATAAACTCTACGGGAACGTCCAGCCATATTTCACTACCCCCCTTAAAATCAATAATAAACTCTACGGGAACGTCCAGCCATATTTCACTACTCCCTTAAAATCAATAATAAACTCTACGGGAACGTCCAGCCATATTTCACTACCCCCTTAAAATTAATAATAAACTCTACGGGAACGTCCAGCCATATTTCACTACTCCCTTAAAATCAATAATAAACTCTACGGGAACGTCCAGCCATATTTCACTACTCCCTTAAAATCAATAATAAACTCTACGGGAACGTCCAGCCATGTTTCACTACCCCTTAAACTTAATAATAAACTCTACGGGAACGTCCAGCCATGTTTCGTCACATCAGATGGTGTCAGTTCATGCCATTTCAGGTACTCACTAATTTTGCATTGAGCTAATGGTAGTAGCAGCTTAAACACCAGTCGTTTCAGACACTGAGGGTATCCATGCAAATGGCAAGTGAACATGTATAAATATCTTAACAGTTCAATTGATCCTTGTAGCTGCTCTCAACCATCGCTGAGAACAGAGAGAATGTAATTCTCATTAGTGACTCATGTTATGTTTTAAGACATGTTATGTTTTAAGTCTCTGTTGCTCCTGTAATTACATTCTTGAAGTAAGGCCTAATTACCCTCTTCGTCCTGTAATTACCTTCTTGAGATGAGGTCTAATTAGTCTGTCCTTCCTGTAATTGCCTTCTTAAGCTGAGGTCTAATTACACCCTCCAACCTGTAATTACCTTCTTGAGGGGAGGCCTAATTAGTCTTGGCCTCCTATAATTATCTTTTTATATACAGTTGATAGGATTTAATTTGGTTTTCTTGTACCAGTTTGTGAATCAGAATCTGCTTCAGTCTGATTTGACTTACATTCTTAGAAAATATCAAATTTTTGCACTAAATCAAGGATATATTAGCCTAAAAGTCATTATTTTTTTCCAGTAATCTCTCTCTCTCTCGCTCTCTCTCTCTCGCTCTTTCTCTCTCTCTCTCTCTCTCTCTCTCTCTCTCTCTCTCTCTCTCTCTCTCTCTCTCTCTCTCTCTCTCTCTCTCTCTCTCTCTCTCTCGCTCTCTCTCTCTCTCTCTCTCTCCTCTGGAGGTAATAATATACCACAAAACACAATCATCCTCACCTCCACAAACCAATAAACAAAGCTAAAATAAGCAATTATTTCATTTTTAGTTTTATTTTCTTCCAGTTTTTCTATTATAAGTTTGCGTGATGACCTCTATAATTACGCAAAAAAAATTTGAGTGACGGAAGTGAAGTTTAGCGTCACGTGACCCGCGTTTGTTACTGACGCGTTACAACCCCTTCCCCCCCTCCCCCCCACTTTTTCGATGCATGTCGAGGGCTAACTTTTGCAAATATATCAAATTGCAGGCTATGCATATTTTTGCTTTATAACCGCAGCGGGGTTGTCATTCCACAGTGTGAATGTGTGGAGCACCGTAGCTAGCATGGTTGGGGGGATGATGTTGTACTGTGTCAGTCGCTGCTGGTGACTCTGAGTACACACACACACACACACACACACACACACATACACTGGTGCTTAGCAAGAATTAAAAACATGTTTTCCGTAAGCTTGTATGTGTAATAAATTTATGCACTCTTTTATTTGTGTACATTTGGTTTATTGGGTTTAAAGCCTGTCTACTACACGAGGCTGCTTGTGACGTGTTAACCACTAGTCAAGAGTGCTGGAATCCTTTCAAAGAGGAATTAAACAGAATTTGCTGTGTATATTCACTGTGATATGCGCATCGCTTAGCATATATACCCTGAAGAACGTTTTAATTTGGATTATATTAAAATTAATCTAAATTTAAACAACTACAGAGTTGTAAGATAATGTTAATACGTAAAGAAGTGCAACATAAGTTGTGGTATATATAACCTAGACTCCTAGAGAGTTCTCCTCATAATATTGTTACTGCTGAGAGAGAGAGAGAATTTATTATATGCAACACAGGATATATACCCCTAGAGGTGTACATCTCTCAGTGTATATATGCTGAGAGTTCACTTTAACCCCTATTTTAGATATTAAAGTATTCATGTCTGGTGGTGACAAGGTTAAGTGCATATTTAATGACCGTAGCCCGGTGGATAGGCTTGAAACCCCAATAATCATCCAAGCATCACATCAAGACCAAGGTCTTCCTTTAAATCTTTCAACTTTACAGGATTTCCTTCAACTAGTGTTAATAAACAAAGGTCTTTAACTATAGTGTTACTATATAAAAAATTTTATACAAACAAAATTTAGAATATTAATAGAGTTCAGACTATCATATATACTTATCTTGATAACAACTACAGTGACATTATATATACCTGTCTATGTAAAAACACGATGACATCATATATACCTATGTAACAATGGTGACATCATTCATAATTATCTACGCACACTGGAGAAATACTTCTCTTTATTTCTCATGCTTTTCCTAACTTGATACAGGTGACCCGAGTGTGTAGTATTACGTAGCAAAGACTTTCTCTGATATCAGAGACCGTCTTCTAACATATCACTTACCCTTTATTCCCTTTTACAGTGGTTACGTTGCATATTAATGCATATCTAGTGTCTAGTGATTTTGTGACCTAGTGTGTGTGTGTGTGTGTATGTTATGTTATATTATGTTATGTTATGTTATTTTGTGTATGTACAGACGAGCTGCGAGCAGCCGTTCAGCAGGAAGTCTTCAACAAAGGTGTTTCAGGAAGCAGCCCTGGTTACCACCTGCTGACGCTGCTGCTGCTGCTGCTACTACTGCTGCACGCCATGCACACAGCAGCAGCACCATTAGCTTCAGCAGCAGGTCTGAGTAGCGGCCCCAGCAGCTTTTCCTAGCACCAGTGACTCTCCTTACCTCCCAGCACCTAAAGCTACACAAGTCATTCAGACAGCTAACACTAACTTGGTAAGTCACGCCAACACGACATTTTCTTTTCTTGTTTTTCCTATTTTTTGTAAGTTGTTTAGATTTTTCTTTATAACCTGTTTTTCCCTACTTTATCTCTTTTTGTTTATAATAATATTTATTTACATTAATGTAACTATATATCGTTTAGTTTCTCCAGCACGACATATATATATATATATATATATATATATATATATATATATATATATATATATATATATATATATATATATATATATATATATATATATGAATTATTAAGGTGAGATTACTTTGCACACAGTAAATATTGAACTATGAGTGTGTGTACTGAACGTTCATTGTTAGTGTTACATGTGTAATTTTAAATATTTTTTTTAAATTTAAAGTCTGACAATTCTCAGTATTTAAAATATAAATATTTTATACAGCCTAAAGTTCAAAAATGAATCATTTTCTAGGTTTATATTTTAGAAACTTCACTTCTTTCGTGGTTATGAAAGTTATGTGTACTTCTCAGGAAACATCATTGTCTGGGCAAGTTAGGCAGCATCATGTGTCATCACTGAGGCATCCTAGGTATTCTGACTACTTATTGTCTCCTACACTAAGGCATCCTAGGCATCCTAACTACTTATTGTCTCCTACACTAAGGCATCCTAGGCATCCTAACTACTTATTGTCTCCTACACTAAGGCATCCTAGGCATCCTAACTACTTATTGTCTCCTACACTAAGGCATCCTAGGCATCCTAACTACTTATTGTCTCCTACACTAAGGCATCCTAGGCATCCTAACTACTTATTGTCTCCTACACTAAGGCATCCTAGGCATACTAACTACTTATTGTCTCCTACACTAAGGCATCCTAGGCATCCTAACTACTTATTGTCTCCTACACTAAGGCATCCTAGGCATAATAACTACTTATTGTCTCCTACACTAAGGCATCCTAGGCATCCTAACTACTTATTGTCTCCTACACTAAGGCATCCTAGGCATCCTAACTACTTATTGTCTCCTACACTAAGGCATCCTAGGCATCCTAACTACTTATTGTCTCCTACAAGTTATTCATTGTTTCCTCCAATATTATTTTAGTAGCTTGAAAAACCATACCCCGGCCGGGATTGAACCCGCGGTCAGAGAGTCTCAAAACTCCAGACCGTCGCGTTAGCCACTAGACCAGCTAGCCACAATACGATTCGTCCAACTAGGTATATTTCTACACCATAGGAAGGTTAGCATAGGCACCACTGTGACCACAAATGCAAGTTTTTACAGACGAATCTCCAGCTAGCGTGGCCGTGACGAACTCTAGCTCAAGTCCCCTCACTGCCGTCAACATGACTCACGAAATTTGTGGTCACAGTGGTGCCTATGCTAACCTTCCTATGGTGTAGAAATATACCTAGTCGGACGAATCTTATTGTGGCTAGCTGGTCTAGTGGCTAACGCGACGGTCTGGAGTTTTGAGACTCTCTGACCGCGGGTTCAATCCTAGCCGGGGTATGGTTTGTTTGCAATCGTGTCATTACGATTTTTAGTAGCTTGAAGACACGAGGATGCTGTCAGGAGACTGCTGTCAGTAGACTGCTGTCAGTAGACTGCTGTCAGTAGACTGCTGTTAGTAGACTGCTGTTAGTAGACTGCTGTCAGTAGACTGCTGTTAGTAGACTGCTCTCAGTAGACTGCTGTCAGTAGACTGCTGTCAGTAGACTGCTGTTAGTAGACTGCTCTCAGTAGACTGCTCTCAGTAGACTGCTCTCAGTAGACTGCTCTCAGTAGACTGCTCTCAGTAGACTGCTCTCAGTAGACTGCTCTCATTAGACTACTCTCATTAGACTGCTCTCAGTAGACTGCTCTCAGTAGACTGCTCTCAGTAGACTGCTCTCAGTAGACTGCTCTCAGTAGACTGCTCTCAGTAGACTGCTCTCAGTAGACTGCTCTCAGTAGACTGCTCTCAGTAGACTGCTCTCAGTAGACTACTCTCATTAGACTGCTCTCAGTAGACTGCTCTCAGTAGACTGCTCTCAGTAGACTGCTCTCAGTAGACTGCTCTCAGTAGACTGCTCTCAGTAGACTGCTCTCAGTAGACTGCTCTCAGTAATAGTGGTAGCAGAGCTTTCCAATAAGACTGATGTAACTACAGTAATGACTGGCTGATTAGTTTTGGCACTGTCAGGGGATCATCCCTTGACTTCACCTCTTAAAGATATGCTACCTGGGACTCTTCGTTACCTCTCAGATGTTGACATCGCTGCTAAGTCTGCCAGTGAGTTCGATGAGTCCTCTTACTACTATGCAGAGGAAGAGTTGAGTGAATGAGTGTCCAAATGGCAGGGTAAAATCTTTGCTGTAACTAGCTAAAACGTCCGAAAATAGGCAAGAAAATTCTTTCAAACGGCTCCCAAAACCATAACTCTTTTAAGAAGGCTGAATGTATTCTGAAAATCTAGTTTGACTACGTACCTTTATGGTCGGGTAAATCCCTGATGTAATCCTCTATTGCATGAGCCATTGCTTTACTGTTTTCAGTGATACTTAAGCCAAGTTGACGTTGGCTAACGTTGACGTAGGCTCCGTGAAGGCTGTCATGACTAACGTTATCAAAAGATGATAGAGGATGTTACATGGCAACAAGACGGTGGAGGGTGCTACATGGCAACAAGACGGTGGAGGGTGTTACATGGCAACAAGACGGTGGAGGGTGTTACATGGCAACAAGACGGTGGAGAGTGTTACATGGCAACAAGACGGTGGAGGGTGTTACATGGCAACAAGACGGTGGAGGGTGTTACATGGTAACAAGACGGTGGAGGGTGTTACATGACAACAAGACGGTGGAGGGTGTTACATAGCAACAAGACGGTGAAGGGTGTTACATGGCAACAAGGCGGTGGAGGGTGTTACATGGCAACAAGACGGTGGAGGGTGTTACATGACAACAAGACGGTGGAGGGTGTTACGTGGCAACAAGACGGTGGAGGGTGTTACATGGCAACAAGACGGTGGAGGGTGTTACTTGGCAACAAGACGGTGGAGGGTGTTACATGGCAACAAGACGGTGGAGGGTGTTACATGGCAACAAGACGGTGGGGGGTGTTACATGGCAACAAGACGGTGGAGGGTGTTATATGGCAACAAGACGGTGGAGGGTGTTACATAGCAACAAGACGGTGGAGGGTGTTACATGGCAACAAGACGGTGGAGGGTGTTACATGGCAACAAGACGGTGGAGGGTGTTACATGGCAACAAGACGGTGGAGGGTGTTACATGGCAACAAGACGGTGGGGGTGTTACATGGCAACAAGACGGTGGAGGGTGTTATATGGCAACAAGACGGTGGAGGGTGTTACATGGCAACAAGACGGTGGAGGGTGTTACATGGCAACAAGACGGTGGAGGGTGTTACATGGCAACAAGACGGTGGAGGGTGTTACATGGCAACAAGACGGTGGAGGGTGTTACATGGCAACAAGACGGTGGAGGGTGTTACATGGCAACAAGACGGTGGAAGGTGTTACATAGCAACAAGACGAAGAAAGGTTGAGGGAAATATACATATATATATATATATATTATATATATATTATATATATATATATATATATATATATATATATATATATATATATATATATATAAAATATATATATATATATATATATATATATATTTATATATATATATATATACTAAGAGGTGTATTTCTCACAACATATATACACTGACACATTGTTTTAATCCCAATTTTAAGGATAAAATTATTTTTATCTGGTGGTGAGCAGGTGACATGCAACCTTAGTAACATTTGCCTAGTCGACAGGCTTGAAACCCCATTAACCAACTAACCAACCAACCAATGTTTCAACATTTATTTTTTTGTAAAAATATTTATTTTTCTATCATGCATTAAAAAGATGTCTCTTTTATGTGACAATATTTATATGTAAATGTAAATATATATTTATACGTAAATTTACGAAGATATTTTTTACGCAACGCGATTCAACATGTTTGATTCTTTGTTTACAGTGACCGTGACGTCACTACAACACCTGGAACCTAGTGGCGTCACTACAGCACCTGGAACCTAGTGGCATCACTACAACACCTGGAACCTAGTGGCGTCACTACAACACCTGGAACCTAGTGGCGTCACTACAACACCTGGAACCTAGTGACGTCACTACAACACCTGGAACCTAGTGACGTCACTACAACACCTGGAACCTAGTGACGTCGCTACAATATCTGGAACCTAGTGACGTCACTACAACACCTGTAACCTAGTGACGTCGCTACAATATCTGGAACCTAGTGACGTCACTACAACACCTGGAACCTAGTGACGTCACTACAACACCTGGAACCTAGTGACGTCACTACAACACCTGGGATCTAGTGACGTCATTACAACACCTGGGACCTAGTGACGTCACTACAACACCTGGGGCCTAGTGACGTCATTACAACACATGGGGCTGAGAGTGACGTCACTACAGCACCTGGGACGTAGAGTGAGGTTACTACAACACCTGGGGCTCAGAGTGACGTCACTTAACATCTGGGCTCAGAGTGACGTCACTATAACAACCGGCACGTAGATTGACGTCACTACAACACCTGGGAAGCAGAGTGCCACCACTACAACACTTAGGCCATAGAGTGACGTCACTGCAACACTTAGAACTAAAACTGACGTCACCACGACACTTGGGGCGCAGTGATGTCACCGCAACACCTGGACGTAGAGTGACATCATCACAACATCTGGGGCACAGTGACGTCACCACAACACCTGGAGCGCAGAGTGAAGTCACCGCAACACCTAGGCTACATACAGTGACATCAACAATATTTTCAACACCTGGAGGGATGACTAATGTAATAAACTCAATACATATTTTTAGCTAAAATAAGAGAGTATTCACTAATCCCCACATACAGTAACTTCTCTCACAGAGTCTCACAGTGTGGCCGGATATAATACACTCAGATTACAACTCTGATAGAACACACTTTACTAAAGGGAACTATCCTGATTCTAGTTTTTTTAAGTAGGAAATAGATGGAGTGTGGATCTGGTTCAGAACACTTGAGAGATACTAATGAGCACACGTGGGTGTTTATTTTTATCGACTTGTTCCAGTGTTCCAGCAGCTGCTGCAGCAGTAGTGATCTCACTTCTTCCAGTGTTCCAGCAGCTGCTGCAGTAGTAGTGATCTTACTTGTTCCAGTGCTCCAGCAGCTGCTGCAGCAGTAGTGATCTCACTTACTTGTTCCAGTGTTCCAGCAGCAGCTGCAGCAGTAGTGATCTCACTTGTTCCAGTGTTCCAGCAGCTGCTGCAGCAGTAGTGATCTCACTTACTTGTTCCAGTGTTCCAGCAGCTGCTGCAGCAATACTGATCCCACATAATTGTTCCAGTGTTCCAGCAGCTGCTGCAGCAGTAGTGATCTCACATACTTGTTCCAGTGTTCCATCAGCTGCTGCAGTTGCTGCAGTGATCCCAGACACTTGTTCCAGCAGTTACTGGTGGAGTGTGTTAGCTCACATCAGAAAGTTAGAGGGTGAAAAAGAAGTGTGAAGAATGAGATCATATGTTGAAGAAGGAATATATGTCACACTAAGTCAGTATCAGTTAAGTCTTACAGAGAGTCAGTAATAACATTGTAGGCTCAGTCCTCCGCCCTCCAGCGTGACCAGCAAAGCCTTACAGATACCCAGAGTCTACAGTGACAATGGGGTACTGTGGCAGCGGAGGGTCGGCCAGGGTAAGGGTGCCAGAACGTTCCAACAGAAATTAAAGGAATAAAAATAGAAACAGATACTGAAAAAAGTAGTCTGAGTGTCCTTAATTAAGAGAAAGAATACTCAGTCACAAAGGCACTGGTCCACCATTGTTTTTTTTACCACAGGGAAAATTCTGACTCTCACCCAGGGGTCGGTTCTCACCCTCCCTAGACGACATAAACACCTCTCGGTATATGTACACGTGGATATACATCTCCTCTCGGTATATATGCACTGAGTATATACAATGAGGAATATACCTCTTGGTGTATATACAGTGAGAGATTCACCTCTTGGTGTATATACAGTGAGTGTGTGTGTATAAACTCTGGATGATTTTCACATTTCCCTTTTTATGCAAAAGAAAATTATCAGCCACTGAGATAATATGCTTATGTTTAGTGTTGGGGAAAATTTTAATTGAGTTAACCTGAGGGAGCGACAACCCCCATTATTATGTAAATTGTTTGCCAGACTTTTGTTCTTCTTTCTTTGCAAGTCCAGTTGTTTATATATATATATATATATATATATATATATATATATATATATATATATATTATATAATATTATATATATATATATATATATATATATATATATATATATATATATATATATATATATATATATATATATCTAGATATATAGATATATATGTGTGTTAATTAAATAACTGCTAGACACAAATATATTTTGCATATTCTTTGTTATACACTAACCACATACTATCACATACACCAACCACATACTATCACATACACCAACCACATACTATCACATACACCAACCACATACTATCACATACACCAACCACATACTATCACATACACCAACCACATACTATCACATACACCAACCACATACTATCACATACACCAACCACATACTATCACATACACCAACCACATACTATCACATACACCAACCACATACTATCACATACACCAACCACAAACTATCACATACACCAACCACATACTATCACATACACCAACCACATACTATCACATACACCAACCACATACTATCACATACACCAACCACATACTATCACATACACCAACCACATACTATCACATACACCAACCACATACTATAAAATACACCAACCACATACTATCACATACACCAACCACATACTATCACATACACCAACCACATACTATCACATGCACCAACCGCATACTATCACATACACCAACCACATACTATCACATACACCAACCACATACTATCACATACACCAACCACATACTATCACATACACCAACCACATACTATCACATACACCAACCACATACTATCACATACACCAACCACATACTATCACATACACCAACCACATACTCTCATATACACCAACCACATACTCTCACATACACCAAAGACATACTATCACATACACCAACAACATACTCTCATATACACCAACCACATACTCTCACATACACCAAAGACATACTATCACATACACCAACCACATACTATCACATACACCAACCACATACTATCACATACACCAACCACATACTATCACATACACCAACCACATACTCTCACATACACCAACCACATACTCTCACATACACCAACCACATACTCTCACATACACCAACCACATACTCTCACATACACCAAAGACATACTCTCACATACACCAACCACATACTATCACATACACCAACCACATACTATCACATACACCAACCACATACTCTCATATACACCAACCACATACTCTCACATACACCAAAGACATACTATCACATACACCAACCACATACTCTCATATACACCAACCACATACTCTCACATACACCAAAGACATACTATCACATACACCAACCACATACTATCACATACACCAACCACATACTATCACATACACCAACCACATACTATCACATACACCAACCACATACTCTCACATACACCAACCACATACTCCACCATACACCAACCACATACTCTCACATACACCAACCACATACTCTCACATACACCAAAGACATACTCTCACATACACCAACCACATACTCTCACATACACCAACCACATACTCTCACATACACCAACCACACACTATCACATACACCAAGCACATACTCTCACATACACCAACCACATACTCTCACATACACCAACCACATACTCTCACATACACCAACCACATACTCTCACATACACCAACCACATACTCTCACATATAACAACCACATACTCTCACATACACCAACCACATACTATCACATACACCAACCACATACTATCACATACACCAACCACATACTATCACATACACCAACCACACACTATCACATACACCAACCACATACTATCACATACACCAACCACATACTCTCACATACACCAACCATATACTATCACATACACCAACCACATACTATCACATACACCAACCACATACTATCACATACACCAACCACATACTATCACATACACCAACCACATACTATCACATTCACCAACCACATTCTCTCACACCAACCACATACTCTCACATACACCAACCACATACTATCACATACACCAACCACATACTATCACATACACCAACCACACGCTATCACATACACCAACCACATACTCTCACATGCACCAACCACGTACTCTCACATGCACCAACCACATACTCTCACAAACACCAAGCACATACTCTCACATACACCAACCACATACTCTCACATACACCAACCACATACTATCACATACACCAACCACATTCTCTCACATACACCAACCACATACTCTCACATACACCAACCACATACTCTCACATACACCAACCACATACTCTCACATACACCAACCACATGCTCTCACAAACGCTACCCACAAACTCTCACATGCACCAACCACATCCCCTTATATACACCAACCTCATCCCCTCACATACACCAACCACATGCTTTCACATACACCAACCACATACTCTCACATACACCAACCACATCCCCTCACATACACCTACCACATACTCTCACATACACCAACCACATCCCCTCACATACACCTACCACATACTCTCACATACAGCAACCACATACTCTCACATACACCAACCACATCCCCTCACATACACCTACCACATACTCTCACATACACCAACCACATCCCCTCACATACACCTACCACATACTCTCACATACAGCAACCACATCCCCTCACATACACCTACCACATACTCTCACATACACCAACCACATACTCTCACATACACCAACCACATCCCCTCACATACACCAACCACATACTCTCACATACACCAACCACATCCCCTCACATACACCTACCACATACTCTCACATACACCAACCACATCCCCTCACATACACCAACCACATTCTCTCACATACACCAACTACATCCCCTCACATACACCAACCACATCCCCTCACATACACCAACCACATACTCTCACATACACCAACAACATCCCCGCACATGCAGCAACCACATACTCTCACATCCACCAACAGCATCCCCTCACATACACCAACCACATCCTCTCACATACACCAACCACATACTCTCACATACACCAACAACATCCCCTCACATACACCAACCACATACTCTCACATACACCAACAACATCCCCTCACATACACTAACAACATCCCCTCACATACACCAACCACATACTCTCACATACACCAACAACATCCCCTCACATGCACCAACCACATACTCTCACATACACCAACAACATCCCCTCACATACACCAACAACATCCCCTCACATACACCAACAACGTCCCCTCACATACGTCAACCACATACTCTCACATACACCAACAACATCCCCTCACATACACCATTCAAATCCAGTTTCACAAATCGTCCAGATTCTGGGACAGACAGAAATACTCCGGGACAAATAACGACTCTCTGTATTACTGTGGTCACAAGAGAGCACTAAACCCGTGTGGATCGCTCAGCGCCAGTTGTGGCGATGGTGTAGACTAAACCCTCCCTAGTTAGCTGATCATGTGAGACTTCTGACTCACAGCTGACTCACAGCTGACTCACAGCTGGTTCACATAGAGCTCACAGCTGGTTCACAGC